CCATGCTGAAATTGTTCAAATTCAGAAATTGAAAGAGTACAAAATTGGTTGAAAGATTAAATTAAGTAACAGGTATGGTTGAGGGATTATTTATAGTTCTAATTATAACTATTTCTTTTAAGTAGAGTTGTTATTAGATTCAAAGATTGAAGAAGATAATTTTTCTTCACATTTTATTGATGAATAGAATAAAACCAAGCAAAGTTGACATTGTCAAAGAGTTTCAAGTTTTAATATGAGTATTTTTAGTTTTTACACCGCTGAATGTTAATGTGGAGGTCTTTTTTATTAATTTGTTTTTGTTTTAAAATAATTGTAAAAGATAGGTATAAAAGAATAGAAATGGATTATTTATAAAATTGTGATCCGATAAATCATGTGTGTAGCATTTTACCTTTAGTAGCTAACCAAAATTCTTTAATATCGTAAAGCTTTTACAGGATAATGTTTTAGCTGATTTAAAATGTAGGTTTTCCAAAATATTATAGCAACTTCTGCGATGGAGTAATAAAAAAACTTACATGTATTTTTGGAATTTTAGTTTGAGTTACTCAAGCAAAATTTGAATTTTAAAGATCTTTTTTCATTGTTTTGCTATTTGGTTTTATGAGCTAAATATGTTAATCAATCTTTTTATTCTTGTTTGTAGAGATGCAAAATGTTATTCTCAAGGAGCTTGCAGAAATAAAAGTTCTTTTGAAAAAAGTTATAAAAATTAAGTTTCAGGCTACTGGGGTGAAGTTGCTAGAATCAGTGGACGAAGTGGTTACACTGGATAATAAACTAAAAGATAAAACCGAGTATACTAATTTGGTATATTCTAATTATCTTAATTTTTAATAAGTTTGTTTAAATTTGGCTTATTAATTTAGAATCTAAATGAAAAGTATTTGTAAATGAACTAAAATAACTTTTTTTTTTTTTTTTTTTTTTTTTTTATTACATGTAAAATAAGCATTTCGTTACAATATTTCAAATACAAATATATAACAATAAATTTATATATAAATATAATGGTCGTTATTAGAAAATAAAAGAACGCGGGGACTCGTAGAAGACCATACGGTCTTGTCGTCGAGTACCGCTAAGAAATGTTCGTGTTAAAATATAAAAGATAATTACAAGGTTAAAAAATAAAATTAAGTTAACAAAAGTAAGAAACTTAAATTAATCCATAATAAATACAAGATGCGTTTTATCTATTATATATGTAAATTATAGTTGTTAAGGATACACATATACTTTTTATAAGTTCATATTTAAATAAATGGTAAAAATAAAGATCACAAAAAATATCAGAAGTATATAGTTAAATCATCGATTGCAAAAATGAGTTCTTTAAGCTTTTGTTTAAGAGAAAAGTAGTTACTTTGATTAATAAAATCCTCAGTAAAATTTTTAAAACTATTTTATTCCATAAGAATGGTCCGCGATAATCAATACAAAATTTAAAAAGATTTTTTTGAAAATTGGGCTGCATAATAAATTATTATTGCGTAAAATGTATTTATTTTTATCTTTTGATGAATACAAATTATGTAAAGAAATCGGGGATGAAATGGTTTTACATTTAAACATAAAACAAAGAATATTTAAAATATTAATCTCATGTATATTAAAAACTTTCATCTCTATAATGAATAGCCGAATGAATATTATTATTAGTGCGCATAGTTACGCATTGCTACGCCTATTGTTCGTTTTGTTAATTACGGTTCTGCATTATGTAAAATACACTATTTCTTTGCTTCTAGAATTTTCTAAGCGCAGTTATATATTCCACGCGGTCATTCGAGTAAAATCAGCAAGCAAATTGCCGATTTTACTGATACACTTATTTTCAAGAAGAATTAATGTTGTTTATTTTTTAAATAAAAAACTTAAATAATTGTTAGTTTGTTATGTATATATATATATATATATATATATAATATATATATATATATATATATATATATATATATATATATATATATATATATATATATATATATATATATATATATATATATATATGTATATCTATATGTATTTTCTCTTAGAAAAAATAATTGAGAATAGAAAAATAAAAAAAATTTCTTCTAGAATTTGTCAAAAGGGTGTTGTGTTATTCTTCATTTTAAGGTATCTAAATATGTATTTATTTTTCATTTTTTAGAATAAGTTAGAACTAAATTGACTGGTAAAATAGTTTTTTTAGTACAATGATTCTTTTTTAAGAAAATAGTTTTGTCGTTAGTCTTTTTAAAACATTTTAAGCAGTATTTGTTTTATTTTTTAGAGCAGTTAAGAGGAGCTGGTCGCTTTTTTAGTAAGCTCAATTTACTTTCTCATGCATAAGTTTTAGTTTTCGATTTATTTCAGTCTATTTTATATTTCTTTATATCTACATATATATATTCTCTAAGAAAAAATAATAAGGAATAAAAAAATTAAGAAAACTTCTTCTGGAATTTGTCGAAAGAGTGTTGTGTTATGCTTCATTTTAAGGTATCTAAATATGTATTTATAAGAAATTTTTTTAAACCAAGTTTAAAAAAGTTGTTAAACCAAGGAAATTGTAGAGGTTTAATTATCAATATATACTATAAATTATATAATAATATTAGAGGGAGTAAGTTGAAAAGCGTTTTTAAATTTTAAAAAAGAAATACAAATACATTTCAATATATATCTGTTTTTTTTTGAGGTAGATTTAAAGTTTCAGGTTTTCAAATTGTAGATCTTTTCAATGTATAAATAGACATTAAGTATTTCTAAGTAGACATTACGTATATATAAAATCTTTTTAAAATTTAATAAGTAATTATTTGTTTAAATAAGTAATTAATTGTTTAGAATTTATTAAGATTTAAATTATTAGAAAATTCATGTTTACAGAGTTTTATTAATCATAATCGAGTTGTTGAACCAAAGAAATTGTAGAGGTTTATTTATCAAATATATACTATATATATTATATAAAAAATTTTGGTTTTCTTATGTTTTCACTAATAAATAGTTCTATATATATATATATATGTATATATGTTCTCTCTCTCTCTCTCTCTCTCTCTCTATATATATATATATATATATATATATATATATATATATATATATATATATATATATATATATATATATATATATATATATATATATATATATATACATATATGTATATATATATATATATATATGTATATATATATATATATATATATATATATATATATATATATATATATATATATATATATATATATATATATATATATATATACATATATATATATATATATATATATATATATATATATATATATATATATTTTATATATATATATATATATATATATATATATATATATATATATATATATATATATATATATATAAGTATATATATATATATAAGTATATATATCCTCGGAGTTGCGGCAGTATAATAGTGTGTTAGGAGCAAAATATTTATAAACCCGCGTTAATAACCGGTTTTCTATTGTACATAATGCATTAATAATGCATTAATAAGTAATATTACGTGTTTTGTTTAATGTTTTCTCCCAACGCATGAACTATGACGCTGTCGCAAATTTTTTTTTTTTTTTTATTAGAAATGAAATAAATTTTAATAAGTTTTTGCTGATGTGGTTGCAGGTTTTTCTTAACTTCTATCAAATAAACTTAAAAAACCTGTATTTTTTTTTGATGATGGCAAAATAATTTTATTTTGCATTTGTTTGGTTTATTTTTATATATTTGTTTTAAGAATTTTTTTATTTTATTTTTTCGAGTATGATTTTTTTAGTTATTAAGTTTTTTTATTTTATCGTTAACTTTAAATTTGTAAAAAAAAAGAAATAATTAGTGTTGCTTTGATAAATATGTTTAATGAAAATGATGACATTGAAATGGATGATAGGCTAGATGAAGTTATGTATTTAAAAAGATGATGTAAGTGCTATAAGGCGTGTTGAAAATGATCGTAGACGAAATGAAAGAAATAGACTTAAGCGAGATGAAATTAATTGTTTACAAATTGAAAGAAATAGGCTAGATCGAGATAATGTTAATCGTCGCCAAAATGAAAGAAATAGGCTCGATCGAGATAATGTTAATCATCGCCAAAATGAAAGAAATAGGCTCGATCGAGATAATGTTAATCATCGCCAAAATGAAAGAAATAGGCTCGATCGAGATAATGTTAATCATCGCCAAAATAAAAGAAATAGGCTCGATCAAGATAATGTTAATCGTCGCCAAAATGAAAGAAATAGGCTCGATCGAGATAATGTTAATCATCGCCAAAATGAAAGAAATAGGCTCGATCGAGATTATGTTAATCGTCGCCAAAATGAAAGAAATAGGCTCGATCGAGATAATGTTAATCGTCGCCAAAATGAAAGAAATAGGCTCGATCGAGATAATGTTAATCATCGCCAAAATGAAAGAAATAGGCTCGATCGAGATAATGTTATTCGTCGCCAAAATGAAAGAAGAGCTGTTGGACAAGGACGAATGTATTCTATAGCGAGAAGTAATGCTATTCTAGATTATAATTATTTAGGAGAAATGAATCAAATTTGTCAGCACTGTAGTGCTATGAAATTTCCAGATGAAACACATTTTCTATGTTGCCATAATGGTAAGGTAGCTTTGCCTCCACTTTCAGCTATTACACAAGCTTTACAAGATTTGTGTACAGGAAGTTATGTAGATCGCAATACTAATGCTAATACTTTAAAACATATTCGAAATTATAATGCCTGCTTTTCTTTTGCTTTATTTACAGCAAATGAACAAAACCAAAAAGAACAGCTGCATCCCTAGAGCAACTGCTGCAGTATCACAATAGGTTACCAAAAGCAGGTATACTGTTTTCCAGTTGTTGATTTTTTCTTCATATATATCTACTTATCTATATAATACTATAGTACGATTGTTTATATTTCATTCATTTTTTTTCTTCATCTTTAAGTGTTAATAGTTTTATTCTTTGAATGAGATTAGTTAAACAAGTCGGATTTCCATTAAATATATTGGTTTCAAAATTGAACACCATTGGCAAAATGCTTACAAAATTAGGTAGTTTTTAAAAATCTGTTTTCTATTTAATACACTTTTTTTTAAAATATACTTTTTAAATATACTTTTTTAATATACTTTTCTATAACAATCCTACTAATATGAAATCACGTAGCTTTTTAAATATGTTTAATTGTCGTCCCTATCGGTAATAAATATTTTAAATTATTTGATATGGGTTTCTTTACAATAGGCTATACTTGGCTCCTCGGTGCCGTAAATGGTGGCTTCAACTTTGTTTTTTTAAGAAAAATGTGTTTTATATATGCTTCTGTTTGAAAATAATTTTGTTACATAATTAACTATATATCATGTAAATAAATTTTTTTTAAAGATATGTAAACTTGATACTTGCTTTTTTACGGATTTTCAAAAAGTGAACAAAGATATATATATTTATTAACTGTCTAATATGATTTTATCAATTTTATTAAAACTGAATAATTACTTCAAAAATATTGAGTAAAATCCTATTGCTTTTATTATTAACCTAATCTATACAAAAATTAATGAAATAAAACTAATATTTTAACGCCAAGTTAAGGCAAAATGTATTCCGGACATTTTATAAAATTATTATAAATATGGATTGGATGTATGCTGAAATAAATATGTTGATACACGTTAGCTATTAAAGTAAATCCATATATTCCTTTATTGTTTTTTTATAAACAAGTTTCTGCTGGATTACTAATTAAAAAAAAGATTGGTTTAATAATAATCTTTATCATAATAATATAGGATCCGTATGCAGGGCTAAGCCCTTTTCGGAATTGCGATTTCTTTTTCAACTTATAGTTTTTTCGGATATCTAACTTCTATGGCCACAAGTTTGGGTGAAATATTTTAGATGTTTTAAAAATATTAAAAAAGTATATTATTAATATTGAAAAATTTAGGTGCGATTGTGAATTTTTAAGCTCTTCACTCAGTAAAATGAAAGATTAAAAAAAAAGAAACGACTCAGCTTAAAGCAAAATTAAAAGTAAAATATATTCCTAATTTTTACCTAAACAATTTTACGGAATTTGAAAATTTGACATCGATGTTCTGTGCATATAATTCAAGTCATTTTTAACTACTACATAGTGATTTGCGCATTCAATGTCTGAACATTGCAAAAGAAATGGTTAACTTTATCTTTAATGAAGCTAAGAGTTCTCTTAAACTAAGAAGCCAAGAAAAATTAAAGTGAGCTCAACTAAAAAAAGGTCTAAATAAATTTAAATTTTATTAGAGAAAGTAAATAAATATCAAGTTGTTAGTAATGATATTTCTACTATTAACCCGTATTACGGGTTGCTTACTGCTAGTTTCAAATAAAAGAGGCTTGGCATGAGTATAACGGTCTTTAAAATATACAAGACGTGCTACATGCTTCCGCTGACAATAAAGAGGTTTAAGTTTGTTTTTATTTGCACTACCCCAAGCAATGTTTGCATAGTTTATGTGGTAATGAATAAATGAGTGATATAGTTGTACTAAAGTTTGTTTATTTAAGATATTTCTCGCTTTGTACAATATTCCTATACTTTTTGAAATTTTACTTGATAAGTTTTTAATGTGATTTTTCCATGGAAGATTTTCATCTAAACAAACTCCCAGAAAATTAGTTACTGTTACTTTTTTAATTTGTATATTGTCAATAACAAGTGGAGGCATGTTAATTGGCAGTTTATGTTTATTGGTAAGAGAATGGAATAGAATCCATTTATTTTTATCAATGTTCAGGGATAGTTTGTTTGTCTTAAACCAGTCAGATATTTTGATTAACTCGATGTTCACGTTGTGAAATAAAGTAGGAATGCTTTTGTGAGACATAAATAAATAAGTGTCATCAGCAAACATAATTGTTATTAAAATCGAGGCTTTGTGTAGATCATTAATATAAATAAGGAAGAGATGAGGTCCTAATATGGATCCTTGAGGAACTCCACATGTAATATTTAAAAAATTTGATGAAAATGATTTATCAGCATAAACAAATTGTTTACGATTAGTTAAATAACTTTTCAACCATTTTAAAACATTGCCTATTATACCATAATATTCTAATTTTTTAATAAGAATTTGATGATCAATTGTATCAAACGTTTTCGCTAAATCAATAAATATTCCCAATATAAATTTAGAATTGTTAAATGAGTCTGATATACTTCTTGTAAGCTGAATAATTGCATGCTCTGTTGAATTATTTTTTTTGAATCCATATTGCATGTTATATAATAATTTGTTTGTTAAAAGGTGATTGTATATTCTGTTGTACAAAATTCTTTCTAAAATTTTAGAAAAAACAGAGAGGATGGAAATTGGACGATAGTGTTTTACATTAGTTTTTTCTCCTTCTTTAAATATAGAAATAATTTTTGCTATTTTTAAATCATCAGGAAAAACTCCCTGATTAATAGAGCATTTTAAAATTTGGAAAAGTATGTCTTTTAAAACGTAAAAACAGCTTATAATAATATTTCCGTTGACATCATCAGGACCAACTGCTTTATTTGACTTTAACAATTTAAAAGCACTTTTAAACTCTTCAAAAGACAAATCAAAAGAATTTAGATACGAGTTTAGAGGGTCATATGTTGCTTTTATTAATTTTTTAGGGTTCGGAATTTTTTTGGCTAGGTTTGGTCCTACAGATACAAAATATTTACTAAATTCAGAAGCAATTGATTTTTGATCAAGAAGAAGATTATCATCTACTTTAATAACTGAGGGCAAAGATTGCGAAATTTTTTTAGTGTTACCAGTAATTTCGTTCATTAGTTGCCAAGTGCGTTTTGAGTTTAATTTGTATTTTTCAAGTAAATTAGTGAAATATATTTTTTTTTAATTTTTTCTTAGGCGTTCAAATAATCTTACGTAATTTTTATAAATAGTCTTACTCTCAGTTGTTTTTGATTTTAAATATTTAATATAAAGTTTTTGCTTAATTTTTGAAGATTTTAGAATACCTTTGGTAATCCATGGCGATACAATTTTTTTTATATTTGTAATTTACTTCTACTTTGGGAAAATTGATGTCATAAATTTCATAAAAAATTTTAAAAAAGGATTTGTTTATTAAATTAATGTCTTCAGAAAAGTTTATAATTTCCCAATTATTTAACGATAGTTGATATTTAAAAGATTTTAGGTTTTTATTATGAAAAATTTGTTTTTTAAATGATTTTTTTTCATAACATATAATTTTCGCATATATATCAATTGAAAAAAATATAGGGAAGTGATCAGATATATCACTTTTAATAATGCCTTTTTTAAGCGTATTATTAAAAATATCGTTGGTTATAATGTTATCAATTAAGGAAGTTGTTGTTTGAGTAATTCTATTTGGTTTGTTTATTAGAGGAACTGCTCCGTTTTCAAATAGGCCATTATAAAACCCATTAATGTCTTTTTTGACATGATACTCAAAGCATTTTAAATTCAGATCACCTAATATGTAAAGTAATTTTTTTTTATGGTTGCTTTTATTTATAACATCATCTTGTAAAAATGTACTAAAAGTTTTAATTTCGCCTGTAGGTGGGCGATAACAACGGCTTATCACAATGTTTTTAGTTTTAGTGTTCAATATTTCAATTTTTAAAACCTCTTTATTGACATCAGAAATACTCATGTCATGCCTAATATAATACTGAAGGTTTTCTTTTACATAAATAATTAAACCACCGCCGCGTTCATTTGTTTTCCGTCCTAATGAAATCAAATTATAGCCAGGTATTTTAAATTTATTATCTAAACTTGAGTCATTAGAACTACACCATGTTCCAGTTGTGCATATTAAACTAAAAAGAGTTAAATTTTCCTCAAAACTATTGCAAAGATTTTCAAAATTTTTTTTTAAACTTCTTATATTTATATGAACTGCATTAAATTTATCATGCTCAAGAAATTCTAAGATAAAATAACAACTCTAATATAAAAGAATTTCTTAATTGTAACTAGCTTGTGTTAGACTCAATATGTTGTAAAGAAATTTAAGTTGCACTAGTTTTTATTACATTTATTTTAGCTTGAAAGTTTGAAAAGGATTGGTGGTGGAAAGCCAAGAGGACATGTTTTTTTGATCATTAAAAGGTAAATGATTATGTTTTTATTAATTATTAGAAATATGATTAAAAGAGACCAAAAGCAATTCATTTTGACCGTTATTTGTTATAGATTTACTTTTAACATGACACTTTTATAATCACAGGAGCCTCACTGTAGGTGTTTAAGTTAGTTTGTGTGCTAAAGTAAGTGAATGCTAAACTTTGTTTAGCATTTTATTTTCAAATTTAATGCTCATACCTTTCATACTTTTAAGCATTCATATATTAAAATATTTTAATTTATTACATATATTAAAATAAAAACCTTTAAAAATATATTTTAGTTTATTGTTAAAATATTTATCAGGTTATTTTTGAATCAGTTACAGTCCAATTAAATCGAAAAGGAAATGGGGAAAGGATAAGCTTAGAAAATCTAGTAAATATATGGAGTGTTTTACGAGGTAAAGTTGTAATAGTATTTATAAAACTGATATCTGTATTAAAAAGATATTCTTCGACTTTTTTGTATCATGCTAGAACTTTTGTATCCATAATACAAGTTCCTTTAGTTTTTTCATAAAACAATTGTTGTTTATTATTGTATCGGGTTGAGATAAAAATCTTGTTTATATATATACATACATATATATATATATATATATATATATATATATATATATATTATATATATATATATATATATATATATATATATATATATATATATATATATATATGTATATATATACATATATATATATATATATATATATATATATATATATATATATATATATATATATATATATATATATATATATATATATACATATATATATATATATATATATATATATATATATATATGTATATATATATATATATATATATATATATACATATATATATATATATATATATATATATATATATATATATATAAACATATATATATATATATATATATATATATATATATATATATATATATATATATATATATATATATATATATATATATATATATATATATATATATATATATATATATATATATATACACACATACATGTAAATATGTGTATATACAGTATTGGACAAAACATTTGCAACCAATAAATAAAATAAATAAAATAAATAAAATAATTAAAATAAATAAAATAAATAAAATAAATCTTGCTTTGCTAAGTTGCCTATTTAACGTATTTATCAAAAAATATTTA